ACCGCGGTGCCAGCGCGGTTCCACTCGCAATGTGAACAGGTATTTACGTGGCTCTTGCTGACACTCTTTTAGTTAAAACATATCTTCCTGAACGTCTGCTCCTTCTTGCGTCCCCAAGGCTTCCGGGCGAGCGAGCTGCCGACACGGATGATTCAATCCCTAGAAAATTATTCCTACGATGCTTGCCCCGAGGAAATGCATGATCCTTGCCCCAGCTACGGACCTGCCCGTCGATCGCCCTGCTGAGAGGGCATACCGCATCGCCGAGTGTGCTGCACCAAGCCTGTCGGACATCATGAATAACTCCCATCAGTGTCCCACTTTGCAAGCTTTAGAAACCTGCGTAGACGCCCCGACGACCGCCATCGCAACACTCGGCGCGATGAGTAGCAGTTTGTGGCATCCTCCGAGAGATATTTCATCTTGACGTCACAACCCATCTTAATGTCGCACCTCATCGCGACATTGAACGAATGGTCCCTACCGGTACCGCCAGATGTTTGGCAGCAGTGCACACAAGTGCTAACAGCCGTGCGATTGGCGGGGAGATGATCCTGCCCATCACTAGAGGTGGCAAGTGACACGGGCCCAACAGCGAGTCGTCTCTTTTTCGTAACGGATCACATTTCCGGTCGACGCCCACTCATCAACGCCACAGTGGAGATGTCTGTATTTCCACCTACAACAGCCGAGAGATGACGCCCACGGCCTGGTTGACTCCGGGATCCGGACATTTCGGTGAAGGACGTTTTGGTGTACGGCATTTCGATGCGGTCTTTTCGGTACATGGACTTTGCAATGCACAGACTTTGCAGTGCACAGACTTTACGGTGCACGGACTTTACGGTGCACGGACTTTACGGTGCACGGACTTTTCGGCGTGGAACTTTTTGGTGCGCGGACATTTCGGTGCACGGACATTTCAGTGCACAATGATTTAAAATCGCAAGATTTTTGTTTTGTTTTCTCTAAAACTAATGAGCACTATTTTAGGTAGAAGTGATTTTTTTCACGCTTTATAAGTTTGCAGACTTGGTCATTCATTTACGATCACTTACTGATATACCACCTAAGTGACTTTGTTAGGCGCATCACCATCCTGCGGGAGGACTGGATACATTGGACGTTATGTTTAATTTGCCGGTGTCTCTTTTCTAATGTATGCACTAGACGCATCACATCTTGTTTACACGTTGGGTCGATACGGGCATTCTCGGCACCTTCTGTAAAGGTGTGGCTTTATTGTTGGAAATCTGTGTAGGAAAGGCCCCAGCAACAAGAAGTTTGAGATTGTTGAAAATTACCCGAGACATGTGATGCAGCTAGTGTGTATGTTGGAAAAGACACCAACAAACCAACCATAACACCCATCTCCAATCCTCACGCAGGGCGATACTGCACCTAACAAAGTCACTTAGGTGGTGTATCAATAGCTGGTCGTAAATGGATGTCCAAGTCTAAAAAATTATAAAGTGTGAAAAAATTAATTTCTAGCTAAAATAGTGCTTATTAAGTTTAAAGAAAACTATAAAAAACTTGTGATTTTAATTGGCTGTGCACCGAAATGTCCGTGCACCAAAAAGTCAGTGCACCGAAATGTCCGCGCACTGAAAAGTCCCACACTGAAAAGTCCGTGCACCGAAAAGTCCGTGCGCCAGAAAGTCCGTACACCGAAAGGTCTCTGCACCGAACAGTCCGTGCACCGAAAAGTCAGCACTGAAATGTCCTACACCAGAAAGTCCTAGACCCGTTGACTCCTCGTCACTGGAAATGGGTCAAACATTCCCACATATGACATGCATTCTCCAGCGTTGAACCTAGGGTTACATGGGACTTCTCAGTAGGTCTTCGTCATTGCCGATGTAACCTACCCTTTTCTAGGCTCAGACTTCCTATTATATTTTGTTTTAAACGTCAGTATGCACCACCGACGTCTTATAGAGAACAGTACTCATCTCGCTGTCGATGTAATCTCCTCAACCCTAACTTCTCCTTGCATCCGTAACATCTAGCTGCATCCGTCCACAACCTTAATTCATCATCCGTCCATGCACGACCTTAATCATCCCAGAATCCGTGCAACACAACACCTTGCTACATCACGATACATCTGGCCAAGAATCAATTGCGACATCCGACCGCGTTCCAGAACATGCTGCAGATGTCGACGTGCCAGAGTCTGGTGGAGATGAAGGCATGCCAACGTGCCAGAGTCTGCAGATTCCAGCATGCCAAAGAACACGCTGCACGGATTTCGACCACCAGATGCCAGGTTCGACCATGTCCGCATTGATACGCATAGTAGGCCCTCTACCATCATCAAATGGGCTTCACTATATCCTGGCACGCATGGACAGATTCACCCAATGGCCAGAAGCTATTCCACTCACAGACATTACGGCAAAGGCCCATGCCTTCATCTCCACACGGATTGCAGGATTCAGTCGTCCCTGTACCGTTATGACCGGCCGTAGCCGACAATTTCAGCGCACATCTTTCACCGCCCTCTCCAAGATCTTGGGCGTACGCAACATACACACAACAGCGTACCCCCCTTCGGCAAATGGAATGGTGGAGTGGCTACATTGCTAACTAAAGGCAGCACTGATGACGAGAGAAGATTGCATCCATTGGGTCAGTCACCTCCCTCTTGTGCTTTTCGGAGTTTGTGTTACCTTAAAGGCTGACATCGTCGACACCTCAGCCAAGCTTGTTTACAGTACGACACTTCGGTTACCGGGAGTATTTCTCATCCATATACCATCTCTATCTACTGACATCCCGTTGTTCCTACAAGACTTGAGAGATTCCTTTTCCTCCCCCACGACCAACCCCAACGGGAGGACAGACTGCACGGCAGACCTATCATCAGCGACGATCTTCAAACGTGCACTCACATATTCACGAGAAAAGACGCACTACGACATCTTCTCACGCCACGTTACGATGGTTTGTTTAAAGTTCTTTCGCGAACGGAAAAGACCTTTACAGTCGACATCAATGGGTGCCACAATGTCGTCACGTTAGTCAGAGTGAAGCCAGCCTACTTTGTTTCTTTGGTAGATATTGTAGACTTTCCCTTCCCGCCGCTAGGAAAAACAACCAAAGTCGCCAGCTGTCTTTACCCACGATCCCCATCTTCCCACAAGACCATAATGTGAGCCCAGCTGCATCTTTTGCTCCACGTAACTAGGGGGGAGGGGAGATTCTGTAGAGCCACAGCTGAACAATGGGAGCACACCAGCGTGCCAGTGCAGCGGGATGTAAAAGAAGAGGATTGTCTTTTGTCTAGGCTTTGGACGGACGTCATTTCATTCTCTGGTATATCGAACACCCTACCAACAAACACCTTAACTTGTTCATCAGGAAACTTGCAGTCCAGGACACCCCTGAATGAAGTCTTTACACTTTCAAAACATCAAATGATACATTTCCTCGTACAATGTTTTCTGCCAAAAAGTGAAGCCGAGAAAAATGCATTTGAAGTTCACTTAAGGTGTCTATTTTGTACAATTCCCAGGCACACAAAATTTACCTGGAGCATATGTAGCATGAGGAAGGTGCTACTTTCGCTCGTGCTACAAATGCTCAAAACAGGGGCCCTTGCTGACAATGCTCAATTGTTTGGTGATCGTGTCCGTGCAGTGAAATGTCGACATTACCATGATTAAAATGACCTTGCAGCCTAGCTTTCTTGAGGCCTGGATAACTGCCTTGGTCGACTGCTACGAAGTCATTACAACTAGCATCATTGCTAAAAGATGACGGCCCACATGACTCGTTCGCAAAGCAACGCACATAGAAACAAATTTCCAAGGTATTGTTTGCAGTCTCCGGAATGAGGGAGGGAACCAAGACTCAAAAATGATATGTTTGAATTGCAAGAGTGCCAGCGAGAGCCACGTAAATAGCTGTTCACACTGAGAGCGGAAATGCGCATGTTTGGTCGAAGCGCTGGAACCTCACCGTTGGACTGCATGCATCTTGGTAATTGCTTCAGGACCAATCTTTTGCAACCGATTATATGAACCACTCGGCCACCAGACTATCGCAACCTGATGCTGATGTGACGGGCAGCAGTGAAAGTTTGAACCAACATCGTGTATCTTCCAAGAAGTGCTCTAGCTCGAAACACAATGTTTCTAGTACTGTCATGTCAGAATAAAAGGGACTAAAAAAACGTGTACTATTAGCATGCTGGAAAGGTAATCAATACGGCATTTATTTGGGCCCTTATATCCCACGGAACAGGAGATAGAATTGATGAGTGTCCTTTTTGACAAGAGCGTTTGCCACCACTGCCTTTGAAAACAAGGTGATAACAAGGAACAGAGACTGGATTCACCCGAAAAACGAGGGTCAGAATTCAGACTATTCGCACGGGAAGGTTCCACAAGACTGACACGGACATATTCCACTCAACAAGCCTGCCGGTTGTGAGTGGATGGTCTTGGCCACGGATCGTCGGAGAAACTTGTTTCGGAGTGCCTTGCTTGGCCTAGTGTTCCTAAGCTAACCCTTGGCAGTCACTTGATTAATGGGATTGTTGCCATTGTAGCTTTTTCCAGGTATCCGTGGGTTCATTGTTTGTCTCCGCGGCATTTAGCTTCGAGTATTTCTTTCTTCTCTTTGGCTACTCGATGTGGGGATGTGCGTTGACAGCATGTTGAAAAATGAATGCCCGGCGGTCTTTCTGACGACGTGACCGAGCGGCGTTGCCGGCCGTGTTGATTTGATCGTAAATAAATGTGTAGGG